AGTGTCGAAAAGAGGGTTTAGATATGAGGGAAAAAAGCTATGATGAGACGTTCCTCGGGTGCGGTACAGAAAGGAACGTGAGGAACGTCAGTTATCCTGCGAACTGTCTCTTACGTTTCCAGCTAATATGGCCACTAAAGGCGGGAACAGAACGAAAATGAACGGCTAAATCTGTCTCCAATGATTAATTTACTGGAATCTATCGCTCTCGTCAATCGCGCCCCCGCATATAACGTTGAAGCTCGCTAAATGCGGACAAACATAAGCATAAACAAAGATCGTCTATCTCCCAGGGGGGTGACGACTCATCACATTGATCCCTTAGGTTTTACTTCCTCTTTAAGTTGCGCATACCATTGTGCCACACCTGTCTACGCCCATGCAGCCCCTCCCAATCATTCGTCACTACCCGAGAGGCAAAAGGAATCGGCAAAAGCCACGCGGGCGGATACGGAAGACGCACGTGCGAATTTCGTGTAGTGACGTCATGGTCGCGTGCGTCCGGAACGTGACGTGAGGCGACAAAGCGCCCGGCGAATAATTGTAGACTTGGTAGGTGACGTGGTTCGGCGGTACGTAAAGTAGTTATTTAGTTTCGCACCTCACTGTGTTATTAGGAAGATAAAAAGCTCTCACCGGAGCCTTTAGACGACAAATTTTATTATACTACTTTATAATACCAGGTCCGATATTTCCCTAGAGTAAGGAAATTCTTCTTTACGTCATTGTCGTGTAAGGTAAATTGGACCTACGACTCGTTCGTGTTGTATTCTAATGGCCTATTAACTGCGAGTCAAACATCATTTTTCATGTTGATGCGTTCGAAAAATCATCTAAAAAAACCCCTCACCTCTTTAATAGCGAACAATGATATTGCTCTGGCCAACAACCCGATATCTAAAGATCACTATTCTCTAAGGGTATCGATTACATCAACCATAATTTAATCACACTTTACTCTTAATATGTTCACCATCCACTAAACTCGCCATCGACCTCTTATTCTATAATGTAAAAGAATAACTCTATAATTAACCTTTAAATATTAATAACGAGCTTTACGGGCCTTCAAATTAGTCAATCGATATTTAATTCTTAAATTAATTTATTTAAAAACACACACACACATAAACGACGACTCGAAGGCGGTTTCTAAAATTCCTCCATAATTTGCCTTAAGGCTCTTTAAGGCTATTTTTTTTTATTTACCTACTTTTTGCTCTTATCTTCTAGATAAACAATTTGTCATTTATTTTATTTTATTTATTTATTTTTAAAAAAAAAAAGATTGACGAAAATAATCTAACCCTAATTTCTTCTACTGTATTCTTGCTCCATTATGTCCCCTCTGGCAATTAAGCAGACATCTTTCCTGCTTCTTTGTTTGTATAAGTTCCTCTCCTGTCATCATACTGACAACAGGTTAAATCTTGCAAGTAGTGAGATGACCTTTCACCCCAAACCTGCTGGAGTCTGACTGACACATACAAACACTCGGTTTTCGAGAAAAATATTCAATACGACAAGCTACATTAGCGTCACACCTAAAGTCCAACTTCTAAAAACTAAACAGAACGTCTGTATGTCTGCTCTGAATAATATCTTCTCTTCTAAATTATATATATATATATATATACTTAAACGAAGACGATTTTTTTTTCTTTTTTTTTATTTTAAAATAGAGAAAATAAAATTAGAATTAAATATATTTTAAAATTCGTATCGAGTTTAAGAATTATGTAAATTTTTATATGAAAGATTCTACTGCTTCAACAGATAATTTGCATTAGAAGTACTCCAAAGAAAATGACTTCTACAAAGTCATGATCACATCTAATTATTTTCAAGTGGACGAATATTCAACCCCTCATCCAATTAAATCATTTGTTTCTTAGATTTTGTATTACAATAGAATGATGAAATTTTTGTCCATTAATTATTTCCTTTATTTAATATCTTTTTCTTTTTCTTCAATTTTTTTTTTCTTGAATTTTTGAAAAGAATTCCTCGGTTTGTTTCCAGTGCGATATTGAAGAGACACGACTTTGATTGCATCTGTTCTGTAACAAAATAAAAAAAAAAAAGAGGAAAGGGACTTTTCTACTGAATGAAGTGTGACGTGTGTCGTCCACAAAACATTCTTTTTTTCCCCTTTCCTCTAAAAAATTTCTTCCTTTCTTCGTTGTTTTTTTTTGGAATGGACATGGGAGTTGTTCCACGAAAACTTTTGGAAAATCGTTTCGGTCGAAACCAAAATTGAGAAAATCGATTCGATCTTTCACGAATTTTATTGTAAAATTAATGAAACTTAATAAATTCTTTATCTTATTCTCTCCCCCTAAAAAAAAAATATTAAAATTACTTCAATTACCAGCTGAAAAAAATCATAAATTCATACCTAATCTACTTAATGAATTAGTAATCGATCCTCCTCTACAAAAATATCTTTCTCTATGTTAACTACATGTTTTTTTTCCTTAATTTTTTTTTAATTTAATATTCGTTAGAAATTAAGCGAAATTTATGTGATATTTTGTTTTTTTTTAAAATTATTATAATAAAAGAAATGTTTAGAAAATAGAAAGAATCGTTTATGGAGTAAATAGAAGTTCAAACTACTTCATTGCAAAAATCCATTTGAAAGGAAGGCGTTTGAACTAATTCGTCACATAAAGTGACAGGATCACTTTGTCCCTTTAGTAGATAATTTAATCTGGAGAAATTTATCCCAACGCCTTAAATTGCTTCTAACGTTTACAAACTTTGAGTTGTTACAAGTTACCTTCAGTTAAGTATATCTAGAAAGATGCACTTTACCACATCAGATAAGGAAAGTCAGTTATAGCATCCTTTCCTCTTCCGCATCACATGTACTGTACACTCTTATACTGCATTTTTTTTTCTATTTTTTTTTTTTAATTTTCTTTAGTTGACTAGTTGTCTGTTAACGCAACTTCGACCTTTGGCATTTAAAGACTACACCACGTTTCCTGTTAACTGGGTGCTTTTGTCGCTAGACAAGATTAACGTCGAAGGGGAGCGTATAATTTGATTCACTTTATGTCTAGCAACGACGACATTAATGGTTGGTCTCTCGTTGTTCTGGTTACAGATATACTGCTACAAGAGAAAGCTGCTAATAGTTTACTTCTATAAGCCAGCAACAGTTACATAATACCGATCAAAATACGAAGTGAGAGAGAGAGAGAGCGAGAGAGAGGTCGGCTTTCCTGCATGACAATGATCTACACATAACAAAATCGGCCCATACTCGTTAAGTTCTTCTTTTTTTTTTTTGCTAGAAAATAAAAAAACTAGAAAGCTGTTTTTATTCTACATATTCCTATTCAAATTTCCTTCCTTTTTTTTAATATTTTTTTTTTAAATATAAAAATTGAATGTCATTGTGGTAGCTTCAAATTATACTCCATAAATTAAAGGAAGACCTCTTTGCTAACGTCAGACAACACGACAAGGAAAGTAAGTGATGCTGCAACCGCGACTTTGATTGGTAGTCTCCATTAACATCCAACTAAGCAACTCATTAAAACTTCAAACTCCGCCCATAAAATCTCTCGCCCCCTCCCCCCACTTTCGCAATTCCGGTCAGCTAACTTCCGGAAACGGGATGATTTCCGTGCCGTAAACGGAAATGAACATTTCCGAGTGTAAAGTCGATTGTTTCCGTTCCGTTTCGATTCGAATTTAAATGAAATGAAGGGAGGGTGGGTAAAAAAATGATGACCCGGAAAGAGATTAGTCTCAAAGGTTGGACGTTGGCTTTCCGTTTCCTTCCTTTTCCGTTATACTTCCGATACGAAATCTATCCACTTTCTTGTTTCCGGATAACTGTATAAAATTGCCACTTGTTATATTAGTCATTTTATTAATTTTTTTCTTATTAATCTCCTATAAAACATAGTTTAATATCGACACTATAACTTATAGTTCCCCTGTAAAATGTGGTTTATAATGGGAAAAAAATCATTTAAATTTATAAAAAATCCGTTTATAATTTACTATTTATCTATATGTTTTTTAGTGTTTATTCCACGAAAAAATCGGTATTAAGTCTATAAAACTGTCGAGCATTTTCTCGTAAAGAACTACATAAATTTACGTCTGAGAAAGCTTCCGAATTGAAGAAATTTATACATTCTTCCCTAATTTATAGCCTAATGAAGGGAGATTAGAGTCTTCTCATCACTTAAGTGTATTCTTTAAGAATTAAAGTATCAATTTTTCTTTTTGTATTTTTTTAAGAGGAAGGTTAACCACAGATTATAGTTAGTGCTTTAGAACGAATAGAAGATGGAGGTCGTACGATAGATCCGCCATCATAATCGTTACGTAGCAAAGCAGGTGGATTGTTCAATAGGAAAACGTTCGCAACGTGTCTGATTAGTGCTATCGACGACGACATGGCACTCATTACCTCTAATGGACGTTCCCTCAGCTGTCCAGTTCTGTCGAGCGTGACATGCCGGCGGAACCATCCTCTTTCTATCTTGTTTCGAGTTTATCTAGCGATCAGAACCTTTTGTTTCCTTTCAATTCATAGTTCCAGTTGCGTTTTTTTAAAAACTTATATGTCTTTTGTATGCCTCGTGGGCCACGTCCCGTTCTATAAATACGGAAAACCTAATCGATACTTATAGAATCAAAAGAAATTATCGTGAAATTTTGCGTGTAATTCGTCAATCTCACGCCATTTCGTGATACCTTTTCACGTCATCAAATCGTTAAAATTGATTATAAACGTTTATGGGTTACGTATGCTCCAATCGGAATCGTTTTAATGGAAGCCGCTTAATAATGTACAGGAATTCTCGTGATAGTTAATGTCGATTCCTAATCGTTAATTGTTAGAAATATGCCGAAAATCTTGGAGAATTTTTATTATTATTATCTTTTTTTAGCATTTTAAACATAAATAAATAAATAAATAAATTCCTAATTTTTTTTTGTAGCTAAATATATTTGAGAATAGGTCAACTTACCAGTGGATTGCGAAGATAGACAATGTGACAACCCGTTTACAGGGAACCGCTGTTCGTAGTGCCAGAAAGAGTCTGGAAATAGAAGCTAAATAAATAAAGCAGAAAAAGGGGAAAAAAACATAAGAAAAATTAGAGATAGAAAGGTGCAAAATAATAATAATAATAACAATAACAATAACAATAACAATAAACAAGCAATAGATAGCGTGGGTGCGTGCATTTATAAGTGTAAATGCGGAAGAATGTGCAAAATTCGTCTCAATTTTTCTCGTGTTTTCGGGCTTTTTTTAATCAAATTTTTATATTTTTTAATTAAAAATCATCTTAATTTAATTTTACATCATTTTTTAATTAATTTTAATTAATATTTTTATTAATTTTGCACAGCGAGCTTCGTACTATAACACTATTGAGAAACCAAGTAGTACAGTTCTAACGTACTGTACTTTATTAAGCCGTATTATATTTATTTGTTTATTAATAAAATTATCTAAATTGAGGATTTTAATTCTTAAATATTTATTAATTAGTAAGGATTACGGAAATAAAGTTTCGAGGATCTTACATCAACTCGCAGAAGATACATTCAAAACCATTGGATATATTGATTTTAAAAATCAAAAATATTATTTAAATTTATATAAATTTGTAAATGATAAGTTATTTTAATAAAATTTAATATAAAAAATTAAATAAATTTCCTTCTTTGATTTTAGAAACACGATACGTTATTTTTCAGTTTGTTCGTTCGTTTGTTTGTTCGTAATATTTCTCGGAAACTGGATAAATTAAAAAGTTTAAATTTTTATACTTTATGCAGGACATAGTTCTCAAACAGAATTTCTTATCAAATCTCACTCATTTTTTATATTATCCCTACAATAACCTTAAACTCAAAACTCCAATTATCTCGAAAACTAATAAAGCTAGAAACGTTTCATTTTGTAATCAATTAGCCCATTCGTAGGTTTGTCTTCGGGTAAAATTTTACGAAAATTGAAAGATTACAACAATAGAAAATCGTCTCAATTGTTTCAATAAACTCGATTTTTTATATTTTTCTATATATACCAGAAAGAAATTTTATAAAAAAACCACTCAGATTTTTAGAAAGTGATATTGCCTTAATAAATAAAACAAAATAAATTCGATTCGGGAGTAGATTTAATGGTTTAAAATTTCATTTTGTTTTTTAATAGAGATGATAACTTCTCTTTCTCTTTCTTTCTCGCTCTCGCTCTCTAGAACGTTGACTCAATTATTACTTTTTTTGGGGGGATCTAATCCAGTCGGACCAATGACGTCACATAGGCGCCATTGTGACCAGAGTCGGTTGATTTACTATTATTTTTCTGGCGAGAGAAATGACGATTGCGAGGATGGAGGATAATAATGTAAGAAGGAAATTGGTCAGTATGATTGGTTGAGACATAAACTTAAGCTGTTTCTACTGATGCCTGATGCGGGGAGGAGAAACAAAAGAATTGTTTTTGTTCCTTTACTTTATATATATATATATATAAATCCCTAAAAACTCGAGCATTTCTTGATGATTCTTGATGTACTCGCTCCTTGTATCACCAGTAAGGCAAATCAAATACCCAGAAAATCTTCAATTTCTTTCACTTTTATTGCTTCTCATCCTCATCTTCCTCATCTAAATTCTATCCAATAATTATATTTTTAACAAGGATCGTGTGGGATGAAGATCTGTAGATATAACGTAAAGAATAGAGTAGCCTGTATCACTTACAGAATAGGATTATTTATAGATATAATGGTAAAGAAATGTACAGTACAGTATTTCACGAGAATAATCTATCAGAATAATGAGATCTATTTTTATAACGTACAAAACAGAATTACCTATAAACATTAGCGTGATCAAGGAGGGCCCGGATTGCGAGGCCTCTCTTACTTTTGTAAATAAATAAAGAAAATATAGGGAAAAGATTTGAATGTGGTCAATATCTGAGGCCTTTCTACAGGTTCTAATTCGGGCCCCCTCCCCTAGTTACGTTACTGAATTAAGTACAGTACATAATAGTATATATTCTGAGCATAATCTACAGAAAATGTACACAATAGATAACGTGCAGAACGGATAATTTATAGGTATAAGTTGCAGAATAATGTACCGAACAGGATAATTTATGATGTATAGAGTAGATTAATCTATGGCAAAAGATAATCTATAATGTACAGAACATGATAATATAGACATAACATAATGTGACATGGGTGTAAGTTATAAAATAGAGCAGAATATAAAGACATAACATAAAAAACAGAGTAATTTTTAGATGTAATCTATAGTAAAAAGTACAGAATTGTATAGATACAAGCCATAGAAGAAAATAAAATGAAATAATTGCCCTATTTAATATAATTTAATATAATTTAATGTAATATTTCTATTAAAAAAAATTAAAATAAATCGATAAAAATTCAGATTTAAAAATAAAAAGTCAAATTTATGTGAGAAAATAAAACTGTTGAATTAATTTAATTTAGTTCATTATCAAAATTCTTCTTGATAATTTTCATGATAAAGTCAATCTTCAAAGAATAAATTAATTTCTCTCTCTCTCTCTTGCTCTTGGTTTTCAGGAATTTTCAAGTATTATTAGAAAGATGAATAACTCATAAATGCTTTTGATTATATTCTTGAATATTACGAAATTAAAATGAATATTTTTTAGTGATTTTTATGTTAAATAGGCTAATGAATGAAAAGATTAGAAAAAAAAAACATTTAAATGTTACATATAGCTTAACAGCCAATAAAAACAATAAAATTACACAGTCGAACCTGTGAACAAAGGCCAACACGAAAACATAAAAATAGCCGTTGTTTAGAGGTTAATTTTGTAAGCATTTTTTACAAAAAAGTCTTTAGAAATGGCCTTTATTGTAGGTTCGATTGTATTTATTATGAATTTTTTAAAAATATTTCTAATTTTTGTTTTTAAATACGATTGAAACGTGTATTTTCTTGGTAAATGTGTGATGCTGTGACATAATATGAACCGAGAAAGCAAAATTAAAAAAGCTTTTTCTGGAAATTGTGCAAGAAAAAGTAGTATAATATTCAAAAATAATTGTTTTTTAGGACCACAAAAAGGTTTTAAACTGGTTTTTTTTCTTTTTTTTGGAAACTGTAAGAGAGAAAGAGCGTAACATCCAAAATAATTAGGCCTGTAGTGTGTTTTCGGAAGGCATGCAAGGCCACAAAAGTACATTTTCCAAAATAATTATATTCTACAATATCCAAAATAACTGTAAATTATGCCTTTTTGTAACTACAAATTCACAATATTTTATAAAAGAATTGTTTAGAAGATAATTAAGGCCATAAAAATAACATCCAAATATAATTATGAAGGGTATTTTTGGAAAAAAATAGGGGCATAACGTACAAAAAATCATTTCAAACGAGTGTTTTTAGAAGTTTCTATAAGGCCACAATATTATAATTTATACGAAACAATTGTAGACGATTGTTTTCCGTATTTTATTAATTTAAAATATAAAACTCGGCGAAGATTTTTGAATATTTATTGCCGAGATTTAAGCCCATTTCTGTGTTAGGATAATGATTAAACCCGAAGATTCGAAGCTACAGAAGCGTTAATCTCCGAATTTATAGGATAGATATAATAAGGATTAAGTGAAGGAAATCACGTCGTTTTTGTTGTTAGATACAACCCTTTCTGTGACTAAGAGATTATCTTGTATCCTCTTATAAGAAATGGAAGAGTAATCCGGGATGCGAATGGGATGCAACTGTCCAAATTATATTCGTTGAAGCTATTTCGATCCTTCCATTTAAACAATGGTCATTATAATCGTCTTCGCCTACTTTCTGTGCTAACGTTTTTCGTCTCTTACCACTACAAAATCCAATTTTTCCTTCCGGCAGTTCGCTAATTCTCTTCCCCGGGCCAGCCAGAAATGGCTTATTTGTGTATGGCCAATCTATCTTGTTTGACTGTGGCCTACTCGAAAACACATTATGTTGTCTTCTGGACGTCTTACTCTCGTCTTCAAACGAGAATTCACCACTTTTCATTTCGATTTCCACCCTCCACAACGGAATCCAATCCATCCTCTGATGTAAAGCTTTGGCCAACCTATATAGTCAATTGACTGATTTTGGAGAAATCCCTAAAAGCATCATTTGTTTATGGATGCGTACAACCAAGAAAGAAATAAAAAAAGAAGTGGGGGGACTTTAAAGAATTGACAATTTCAAAAATTTGAAAAATAATGCAAAAATCCTCGCTCCTTTCTCCTATTTTCTATACACCGAATAAAGTTTATTTATCGAAGAAAGTAAGAAGATATTTAAGTGTTTTTACCGTGTTTCGAATGGAAATTATATAGAATTTTGATGGGAGAATGAAATTTTATAAATAAATGAACGGTTATATTCACTCATTGCCAATTAATGTGTATGCGTAGCGTGATGCGAACCACGCCACAATACACTCCCTCTTCACACCAGATTAGCATCATTGCACGCTAACTCATTGCAATAATAATCGCTATGCATTAATTCGTATAACCTTTACATTGTGTTTTCTTCTTCGTGTACGAAATATTTCTAAACATAAGTCATTTCGTCGGGATTCAATGCGTAATTTTAAACGTTAAAGTCCATAGAAAATAAAATATATATATATATAAACTATAAATTATGCCCGCAATTACGTCACGTTTAACAACTCGCAATGCAAATTAAATTAGCATAATTATATTAGTTCGGTTACGCTTCGTTGTTGGGTCTTATACGACTCTTCTATGCTTTAAAATGACGTACAGGCTATTTTATCTGTGATTATAGGGTCAAAAGTGTTTTAAAATACACCGATATTACTAGAATTTCAGGTAATTTATGTATGCATAAGCGTATATATATGCTATAATACAGATAAAAACTGCATTCTTTTAAGGAAAGGCCTTACTAGAATCAAATTATGCAACGTTTTGAGGAGTGTTTAACTGTACTGTACTTATTCACAGGTACATTTGTTTACGTCAAATTGACGTAATTCTCGAACTTTCTCATA